AAGATCATCGCTCCATCAATCTCACCTTGGGCGTCACCAATAGTGGTTATCATCAAGACCAACAGCGTGGACATCTGCCTCTGCATCGATTACCAAGTGGTGAACAGCTTGACGAGGCTGATGGTGCACCCGATGCCGTTGATCAACGATCTTCTCGAGGACTTGGACAAGGTGCTGTGGTATTGCTCCCTTGACATGGCGAGTGGATTCTGGGTCGTGTCCATGACACGGGCGAGACTGATCTCGGCATTCATCACGCCATTCGGACTGTTCGAGTGGGCGAGGATGCCGTTCGGTCTGAAGAACGCTCCCCAGATCTACCAGCGGATCGTGGATAACGCCCTATATGGGCACATGCGTATCAAGCCCGGCCAAGACAAGACGGTCGATGTGTTCGAGGAGGGAGAGCCTGAACTAGAACCCAAACCGTCGATCTTGGGACGACGATCATACGTCGATGACATTCTCGTGACTGGAGACACGTGGGACAGCATGTGCAACAAGGTCGAAAAGCTTCTGGACGTATGCGATCGCTGGAACCTATCGATCAGTGTAGCCAAGAGCTACTGGGGAAGGCGCAAAGTGACCTACTTGGGGCACCAAGTGTCGACAGACGGGTTGGAAGCGAAACCGAAGGACCTTGAAGCCTTCTCGAATCTCCCTTTCCCCACCAAGCTGAAGTCGATGCAGTCGTTCCTTGGAAGCCTGAATTATTACAGCCGCTTCATCGAGGACTTTGCCGTCTATGCAGCGATCTTGTACGAACTTCGGGAGGTAGATTACCACCAGATCGCACGGTTGAAATCGACCGGAGGGCCGGAGGAAGGTGATGCACCTGCGGACGAGGAACGCGATCGCTGGACAAGAGCGATGAATGCGTTCACCATACTCAAGGCGAAGATCATCTCCACCCCGATCTTGAAGCACTTCGATCCGGGGCGGGCGCCAGTCATAGTCCTCTATGCCAACAAGTGGGCGATCTCGGCAGCACTGATGCAGGAACACGGCGGTGTGTACTGGCCAGTAACCTTCACCAGTCGAACGCTGAAGATCAACGAGTTGAACTATGGGATCGTAGATAAGGAGGTCTTGGCTCTTCTTCGCAGGCGGGTTTAATGCAGGAACACGGCGGCGTGTATTGGCCAGTGACCTTTTACCAGTCGGACGCTGAAGGCCAACGAGTTGAACTATGGGATCGTAGATAAGAAAGGCCTGGATCTTCTTCGTATGTTGGATGTCTGCTACTCGCAGTTGGTCACCAGAT